ACGTCAGAACATTTTACTGCTTCAGTGAACAAAGCTACATGCTTTACTTTATTAATCAGTTTCTTTTGTTTTATACATAACTTTATAAAATATTAAACATAAAAAAAACATAAAACAACTAAAGTACTAAGAAAAGTTTGATTTACACTTTTTGCGAAAATGTTACCGTATATATTCCAATAGTTTTTATTCCAAGCAAATGTTAACTTAGCAACACGTGGTAATGATAACACTATGCTTTCTAAGGTACTTTTATAGATAAATATTGTCTATCATTCTCAATAACACGATGTGTTGGATCACGTTAAAACATTTATTTATTAAACGTTATGAAAATCATGAAAAAAAATCGTGGGCGTTTGTCATGAAATTATTATTCTAGCGAGTAACAGACAATTTTGTGGCTACCTAATGACAGTTTTGATCCATTTTGTTGGGCGAGCAAAAGTAATAAGACAAAATCAATTACTAATAAGTCTCCTCTCGGCAATTTTCTTAGCAAAGCAAAACTGTTTTTAGAAAATATAAATAAAATGTATCTGGTTTTAGGTTCTCATATATATTTTATTGGTTTTGTATGTAGTTTCATACACCATGATTATTTATACTATTGTAAACTGACTAGAAATAAAAGTGGTTGTTGTTGTTTAATGTTCGTTCCTTCCTTCCTTCCTTCCTTCCTTCCTTTCTTCTTTCCTTCCGTCCTTCCTTCATTCCTTCATTCATTCATTCATTCATTCATTTATTTATTTATTTATTTATTTATTTATGTTTAAATATACATACAAATTTATGTACTTCATTATTCATCTACAATTTATAATTATTTATTTATACAATCGATATATATTAAAAGTATTGTATATTATTATTATTATTATTATTATTATTATTATTATTATTATTATTATTATTATTATTATTATTATTATTATTGGCACCTTTTTAAGAAGCTGGGCAGCATGATACTCTCCCCCTCAGTACGTGCACGTCGTTGTGGAGGCACAGGACATCGGCAGATAATTTGAAGATCTACTGCTACGTGTGAGACGACACGTTCGCATGCCCTCTATAGCCCAGGGTTACATTTAAGGCGGCATGACTTAGTTTGTAGGAAGTAAGCTGCTGATGTCTTGACTGAAGCCGAGGGGAGTGATCCTAACATAGGGCATGGATAGCGAGGAAGGGTGCTAGATTGCGTTCTTTGCAGGTACAAACAATCAATCCTTTTTAGGGCTAACTTCCTTCATCATTGTCACTGGTTACCGAACGTTTTGGTGCTCATTTGCCGCTGCACAGTGACCTATTTTGGGCTCAAAATTTATATATATCTTTTGCTAAAACAAACTCAGTACAAATTGCATTGAGGTAAATGATCACTACATTGTGCTTCAAAATTAGAGGATTGGGACCTTTAACTTTTTGAATGACCGACCAACGTACCAGTTATAAGGCGTTGAGTGTGATAGCAAAAACAAGTATTTATGACAAAGGAAGATATAGACGATTGTCTCAACATTAGATAAACATATTTTTTATAATTACACGTTTTGTATAATCATCCTACATTATATAAATTGTACTTCCGCGACAATTTATTCTTTAGATCGTGATAGCAGGGCATGATAATTTACTACTGTTATAACGAAATGAGAGCAATTTTATCTCGCAACGTAAGCTTTGTAGCCGATGTATGTGAACTGTGTGACATTGTACACCATTGCTTTATGTTAACATATTTAGAAAATGAGTGTAAGGATTATGTTGTAACACAATTATGTTACTTGAATTTATCTATTATGCCGTTGTAAATACATGTAACTTATCACTTTAGAATTTTTGATATATTAAAATTGTATAAAAGTGACATTGCTATGTCTTTATTTCAAATGTTTAAATATTTCCCCGACTGGTTCCCAGTACGACAAGGCATAAGTTAGGAAAAATATTGCAGTCCCCAGTTTTGCATCCTTTTTTACAATAAAATCAAAAGATAATCGACAAGACGATAGTGTGAAAGTAGTTATAAAATTCACAGTATATTGTGCGTATGTCCAACCTCAAGTGATGGCACGGTGATCACCTCTAGCATTAAATGACCTAATTAGCTTTAAGATACATGTCCTAATTTCATAAAAAATGAATGTGACTTACTTAATGCAGCAAGCTGAGCTATAAGTTATGACAAGTGAGAACTGAATGACTAATGACGTAAAATATTACACCGATCTTTGTACGACTTACATGCACTTACATAAAACATTCTTCTGGAAATAACTTAAACAAATACTGGTAATCACAATAATTGTAAATAAAAAGCAATATAAAAAACTTAATGAAAACAACAAATCTCTTTTTTACATGTACTCTACGACAAGAAATAATACCACAACATGAATCATTACATCTATTGCTACGACCGCAGCTTCTTGACTTCAAACAACTTGCCCCTCACCGCTGTGGATTTGAATCCCGATATTGACTTTAGTTTCTATTGTGTGAGGAAGCTATCCAGCTCGCTAACGAAACGTCGGTTGTTATACTCAGGTGCCCGTTTGTGCCTAAAATAATGCAAAGAAATGCACCTAAGGTCTTCCTCCACAAGGAAAGCTGGAAAGTCTCCATAAAAATGACCTGTACTGTGTGGGTGCGACGTCAAACCAAACCGTATAAAGACGAGCGCGCAGCACTAGCGCTAAGAATGATATACAAAATAATTTAGCGAGAAGGGAATATCCTTGCCCTTTGTCTATGACCCATTTCCATAATACTGTTTGTTGTTGAATAACGAAATTGAATAGTATTCCTAAGTTAGTGATTAATTTTAATATTAAATTCCTACGGACTTCAATATTTGTAGTTTGGTATATCTTTTTTATCTAGTAACATTGATATATACACTCAGAGGCACTTATAACCCGACACTTAAATTTTTCGATATAACTTGATTATTTGTGAATATTTTGTTCAGTTTTTGAACATACAAAATTCAACATATCATACTTATTTCCTCGAATTTTATTTTAAATTCATTAACAAGAAAATAGAGAAAACAACAAAACAAATATGTTACTGCAAAATGAAAAATCACAAAATTACTGTAAATATATTTTTATATCGTAACACAATGAAAAAAGTCTCTAAATCCAACTGATTCTGTATAATAACCAGTTCTAATACTTTCTGTGTCATCCCATGGCTGTAACAAAGTGTTAAAACCTGTCACATGGTTATGACGTAGTGAAAGCTTGGGGAATATTTCTCCATTCCTGAATAAGGGCTTCCTCGAGTTCCATCAACGCCTGCATTCCAAGTCACCAGATCTAAACATCACACTTGTTGGCTGAATTGAACAGGCGTGTGAGAAAGCGGCCAAAAGCTCCTCGCAATTTGCTGGAACACGCGCAAGACCTTATTTACATTGTAGGAATAAAGAACTATGAGGCAGAGGTGTTTACTTTGTTATAGACAATTGGGAGGACATACAAAGTCTTAGAACTGGTAAACATACAGATTTAATGGGATTCAGAGACTGTTCATTGTGTTACGATTTTTAGTCATTCTGTGATTTTTCATTTTACAGTAGCCTATTTGTTTTGCTTTTTGTTCTATTTTCTTATCGATGAATTGTAAATATAATTCCAAGTAGTAAGTATGATATGTTGAATTTTGTAAAGTCAAAATTTGAACAAAAGTCCGTTCACTAAATTAACCTAAATTTCATTCATAAAGAAAACTAAGTCATGTTGAATTATTTTCAATGGAGTTTTTATAAGCACAAAAGTATAGCAATATTACCTTCCTTTTATGGTTGTAATCAATGTCGATTGTACTTTGTGTCGTTAATCAAACGAATCACATGCTATGAATATTTGTAATAATATATTACTATTAAACAGATTTACAAACTTCCATTAAATAAGTAAGAAAATTTTTATGATTTCTGCAGTTATGTCAAATACTATATTCAATCCAACTAGTTATTAATTACTAGAACTTTCACAAGAAAAAAAATCTTTGTTTGGGGCAAAATAATTTCTTTTATTGTGACAAAACATGTTTAATTAATATTGACCATTCTTGTTTATACTTCTGTTGTGTTGAAAATCTTGTCATAACTTTGATCCTTTTTAATTCATTTGCGTTTGTTTGAATGTTTGATTGGGTTTAACGTAGCACCGACACAGTATAAGTCATATGGCGACGTTCCATCTTTACTGGTAAAAGAAGACCTCAGGTGATCTTTCCGTGCATTATTACAGGCACGAACGGGCACCTGAGTAGAACCACTGTTGTTCCGTAAGCTAGCTTGACAGCTTCCTGACATGAAAGAATCCAGGGTCCCTGGCGGGATTCGAACCCACAGTGGTGAGGGGCAAATGGTTTATAGTCAACGACCTTAACCACTCGGCCACGGACGCCCTATTTGGGTTGGTGTTGGAGTAACTTAGTCATGGCATGCATAAAGTGTTAAGGACATTTCTTTTAAATCATTTATGTACCGTCTATAAAAGCATAATTTCATGAAAGCCGAGGAACTATTTTGTAAATGTTCCTTTATGTTTCCTACTACTTCTACTGTTGTTGGTCGTCGTCGTCGTCTCCCTCGTCGAACTAGTTTTCTTACCAATTTTGATTATTGTTGTTGTTGTTGTTGTTGTTGTGCAATCTTATTTATCCACTTCATTTGTACAAATGCAATGAAATAAAACTTTGAAATATATTTCTATACATTTATTAACTAAACGCAATTCTTAAATAGAAATGTATTTCATAGGCAAATAATACCCAACAATCATTTATCAAACTAAGTTTGATTAACGTTTTCCCAGGAGTTTCAATGTTCAATGCAAAACAGCAAAAGCTACTAAGCTCATGTTGAATATTTTTTCAATGGAGATATTTGAATATAAAACAACAAAAGTATAGCAAAAAATGGAGTTAACACGTTCCTTTTATTTGTTGTAATCAATTCCGATTTACATTTGTAGTCCGTTAATCAAAACGAAAGTGCAATGCGTATAATATTTAATAATAATAATTACTAATATACAGATGTTTAACAAATTAATATATGAAAATAAGACAGACAAATTATGCTGACTGATTTCTGACATTTCAGTCACAATACTGCATATTCAATCCAATCTATGCTTATTATCTATGTACATTTTTATTTGTTATAATTACTTTCACGCACAAATAACAATTTTTGTCTGGGTCAAAATAATTTCTTTTCTATTGATGACATAAACCATGTTGTAATTTATATTGTCATTCTTGGTTTATCTTCTGTTGTGTAATACGAAAAAATTCTATGTCAGTTCAATCGTTTGATCTCTTTTTAGATTCGGGTGTGTTACGGTCTTTGCGATCGTCTTTACCTCTATCTTTAATTCAGATGAATCGGCGAGACGCTTACCATGTATAGCACCGACGCTGTTTATACCTACTGCCAAGATAAACTGAAGAACTCCGTAGCCTAGGATCTGGTAAATGAATGACTTCGGTCCGAGATGACCGTAGAGATATCCGATAAGACGCATATGACATATCCCCCCGACTGACATGCCAAAAATCTGCATCATCATAACCAGACCTGTCAGCTTGATATGGTACTCAGTCCATGCAATGGCAGTTGGCAGAACAGCTGAACCGAAGAACGAGAGAAATTGTATGAATATCCAAAATAAAGTTGAGCAGTTTTGTGCAAATAGAAATAATAACCCAGCCGAGACAGCCATTCCAAATGTCTGGATTATTATTAAAACTCTGATAGGTATGCAACGTGCAAGGAAAATAAAAACAAATCTGCCTACTGAAAATGTGATCCAGTAAGCTGTATTTAACGCAGACGCTAAGTCTGCGCCTATTCCATATTGGTCTATAGCAAAACTACGAATAAAATTTCCAATCATTTTGTCCGCCCCTGCATTATTTCCAAGATAAATGACTACTAAAAACACGATGGAAGATCCGTAACAAATTCTGCCATTTGCACACGTAGCCGGATTGACAATATCCTTGATAGACCGATTATCTATGTTCTTCGATAGGTTATCGGTTCGAGTTTGGTTTCCATCTATGGTTCCATTAACCTTACAATCTGACTCACGAACTTGAAAAAAGTAAAATGCAATCGATACCAGTGCAGCAAAACACGCGGAAATACCGTACGCATATTCAATTTTTGAATCACTATGAAGTACATTGTGTATTTTTGTGTTTTCTGACACTTTGTCTACAAATAAGAGAGTTTCATTTCCTGTAGTAGTATTGTTATCTAATGTTTCATTCACAGCAGAATGCATGGACTCTGTTTCTGCCAAGAAGGGGCTAGAGATAATGGGCACACAGAATGAGCCAATACCATAACCTAGATGTACAAACATCAGAAACGGGGCTGATTTACCTTGCCAAATGTTGAACAAAATTCGCGTGCTTACTGAAATATAGTGTACAAAATACTTATATGATAAATGGTAACAACAATCATGATCAAATTGAAGAACGGCATATGGACCAATTTATCAGATATATAGGACAAATAAGAATAGGCCAAAGTGTTATGTTATGCGACATGTATTTAGGTTAAATCAGCAAACGTTTAGGGCATTCTGACTGCCTTTTGACATTGATTATTCCCATACATGTATTGGGAAGAATTTTTTGATCCGCAATGTTCTTTAAATGAAATCGTTTTTGTAATTTACATAGAATTGAAAAAAAAGACAATAAACTTTAACAAATATTTCTTAGTTAACTATGGACCATGCTTGATATAAACAAAAAAGGAAAATAGCTTTTTGTTTCGTTAATGTAAAGACAAAATGTTAAACTACCGTTTATAGTTTGGTCTATTGAAAACTGAAATATCGTTCTCAGCCTATTTTCAAGCTTCAGTAGTAAAGGCAGCGTATTCGTTACATGCAAATGTAACAAATGCATTTGATAAATCATAAAATGTAAACGATGTAAGCTTTAAATGTCAATGTGTGTTTTCGATGCATACTAGACCAAAGTACATACAAAGTTTTAAACATATATCATCAGATGATATGTTGAATGTCCTGAACAAATGATCTAGAAACGGCAAAACTTGACACGTTTGAATTATCGCCATGGTAATCTTATGATGCAACTAGCAACAAATGCTAATGAAAACCGTTTATTTTGTAACATATAATTAAGACTGTTTCCTGTCATATTTTATCTTTTTTATAATATGCTACACGAATAAACGCTCTTCATTATTACATAAACAGTTATGTTTTTTTGTTTCTGATAAGTTGAATTATTTGACCATCTGTTATATATCTAAAATATAAAGCATTAAATAAAGATATTATATAACGTTATATAAGAAAAGACCGTGGCGTTAATAAGTATCACTTACCTATATTAATGAACGCCTCCACAATGCCACCAATAAAACAGAAACCCCACAAGCACGTCAAATTGGGTGACCATGGTATAGCTGCAGTAGCAAAAGCCGCAAGGTCAAGGCCAATAGCAATCAAAAGGTGGCAGTGACCACTAAATCTGTCCACGAGAAACCCGGCCATGATACTTCCGGGAAAGGCACCAACACTCCTTCCGGAAACTGCAACAGCCACTTCCTCGTAATCAGCATCAAGTTTTATCTTTAAGTCTATCAATGTTGGTCCGTAAATTTCAGCATATGCTGACTGGAATAGTTGAAAATATTCTTCAATAAGCAAAAGTGTAATAAAATATATGTTATATGTCAGCAAAGTAAAAATTCAGTTTTGGTACGGAATGTCCAAAGTTGATATATTATCAAATGTGTAATGGATACTTTAAAATAATTCTCTCAAGAAATAGAATGTCAAGTCTTTAATTGGATTGATAATAATTGCCTAATGATATATAACATACTAAATGCATTCTTCAAACAAGTTTGCATAATGTCCTTTATGTTCATATTTTTTAGTGTTTCTTTTCAGTTTGGAAGGCTTTTCAAATTTGTATCATATTAAGATATTAATCAATATGTTCTTTTTAAATCATATAACGGTGATTTGTTACATAAATTGATATCATTATATATATTATTGTATATTGTAGTCTATGGTTGGTGGAGAAAGCCACATCCTTGATGAAGTTAAACGTGGCAAAATTTCTCACCCACTTAGTTTATCCGGTGGCGATTGTAACTTTTATCTTCTGCGAATTTAGACCTGGCTGTTAAAAGGTGAAAATTTTACACACAAACGATATCAAAATATTACTTTTATTAACGCATAGTCTGTATTTATTATGTATTTAGGCGGAAATTTAATGTTGCAGATGATATACTTGCTAAAATATTTATACCTTAAATAAGCTTATAGCTTATATTAAAGTTTTCATTTCAAATATGTGTTTTATTCTTTTTATTTTGTTTTCCTTGTCCTTATATAGTTTCCAAAATGTTGCTTATTGACCAATTACCTGTATCATCGTTTGTTTGTGTTGCCATTTGGCAATAAGTACAGTTATAGTATACATTTTGTAAATGTAAAAATGCTACTTTGCTTACATTTTGCTACTTTAATGAAACATAATTTTACATCAAACGCTACTTTCCATAGAACTAATTTAGACGTTATGAAACTAACGTTTGCTCTTTCTAAAGAAGAGGAAAATTGATTCGTTACTGAGGCATAAGGTGCCATTAACGAAGTATTGCATTGCATTGAATACGTTAAGTAAAATTTTGCATATAAAATTCTTTCGTCGGGGTAAAAACATTCAATGAGAAATTCATTTATTGTGCAATTTCATGTTGTTCTTTACCTATATATTACATTACATTACATTACACTGTCTCTTAAATATATATCAATATTGCAGCCATCTTTCGTTACAAATCCTTCAAACAAGTTAGTCGTTAAAAGTGCCCATTCCATTTCAAATTTTTTGATATTTACGTTCTTTAAATTATCAATTAAAATAATATAAATAATAAGAAATCTTCATATGAAAAACATAATTCATTTAATCGATTAATTATAATGATAACAAAGTAAAATTATTTTTTTATAAATATGTTAGAACAGATCAGAACGCCATCAGTTTTAGAGGTGTATAATCAGTATGTTTTATTAGTTATTTTCTCTTTTTTTCTCTCTTTTTTTTTCTTCTTTTTTAACTTTATTATTTTGTATTTTTATTTTTTTTATTTCACTTTTTTATACTTTTATTGTTTGTTGTTTTTGTTGTTTTTGCCGATGGATGTTCAAACATATTATGTCATATCATTCTCAAATGTTTGTTAATCAGATAGTCTTACCAATGCTACGAAAGTTAAAGCCAGACAAATTGTCTCACACACTTTATCAAAAGTGTTTCTTTTATTTCCTGCCCCCATCTGTCCATCCTCATTGTCGATAATATCCTCGCTCGTCATATTAAATGCACGTTCTTGTTTTAAAGAAAGATTTTTTTCAACCGAAATTAAAACATCCGATAATGTATCAATTGTATTTAGATGTATTTATTTATAAGCACAAAACATAGAAGTGTAACTTTTTTATAAACAGTTGCAGAATGGACTCTTCAACGGAAACTAAGGAACGGAATGGGCTGAACATCCCAAGTGGTTCTGCTTTTATATGTTTTTTGAGAGAAAAAAAAAGATTAATTAATAAAACTTGCAAGCAAACTTGTCAAACAAGAATAAAATAAGACGGTGCAGGTACAAGATATCGCTGCTACAAATGCTGAACGTCATAATTACATGTGTACAAACATATTTTGGTCTACTTTTAAATCTATTTTTGTACTCTGAACAGGGCAGGTTTTTGTATTATAAAGGTAACTGTAAAATGTTAACTATAAAAAGTGCGAGCCTTTGAAGGTGTGATAAGATTATTCTGAAAACAAGTTTTTTACATTATTATGACATCATTTTTATTTAAATTTTTGCAAAAACACACATGTAACCAGACGAATACGCCGTTACGTTCAGTACAAAAACAAGGATATGCAAGTTCACATTCGGAACTGCCTCGGCTATTATCTATAATAACCTCGGAAACAATACGGATTGAAAGTAGTTCTACCACGTGGTTTCAGATGTAAACAGAAACAGAGATAATGTAAAACGAATGTATATATTTGACATCTAATGTCTGTTCCGGTACTCTTATGCTTGAAAATATGTCTGACAACAATTTGTAATTTAAATATGCCCACTGATGTTCAATTTTAAACAAATCTAACTAAATGTCAACAGGTTGGGTTTTTTGTACTTTCGGTTTATACAGCCATAATTAATAAATTGTTTGCTTTTGTACCTATGAATTCACTTATTTTAGGTGGACTTTTACTACATATATTGGAAATAAACTTGTCAACAACTCCCAGCATTAAATTACTAATTGTTTATATGTTAAGTTTCTTAGCGTAGGTTTGACCGAAATACCGCATCCGTTCTATTCATACTATTATGTTCGAGGTCCTTATCCGAAGACTGACGAGTAGTTGCGATTGGCAATTTCAAAATATCTTCACATTTGTGGCCTTGATATTGATCGGTGTTTTGTACAGACTCAATCAAACCGAGTCTGCAATACTATGCTTCACGTTATTTGGTTGTGATTAGTGCTTCCAAAGGATAATCTTTTTTCAGATTTTTATACTTCACAACAATAGGTGTCAAGTGCCTTGCGGCAGCTGTAAAACGTTTTCATGTACTTCACTTCAGTGTTATTATAGTTATCTGGTCATTCCGGATTACTAATTCCAGCAATCAAAGTGATGAAAATTGAGTACCGCTCAAGCCTGTGCTAAGGGGCGTGAGGCATGTTGCACTTTATCATTATCTCTCATGGACAGATTCAATCAAACCGAGTCTGCAATTTTCATGATTAATGCTTCCGAGAAATCACTCTTTTTCCAGTTGTTTATTTCTTGTCTTTCAAAATTATTGATTTCACTACTTAAGTGTGGATTGAGTAAAGCATTATTAAACTTTTGTTACGGGGGCATGAGAGATGATACTAATTGTATTGCTTTTCAGACTCAATTAAAAGGTTCCCGCCCATACCTGAAATAATGCACTGAAGGGCACCTGTGATATTTCTCCACACGAAAAGTTGGGAAAACGTCATATGTGAGTGACTAAAAACCATTACAGTTATAACATTGTTTTACAGTTAAAGATCTTGTAACTCATTTTTTTATGATTTTATATCATGATTGTAATGCTCAAATGAAGATTTATTAATATTTTAAGTTCCAAAAAGCATTATTTGTAAAGATATTACCGAATTTACATTTCATGTCAATAAAGTGAGGTAATTAGAAATTTATTTTCTACAAAGTATAGGTCCAATTTTTCAATAAGAAATGAATGCATATATTTTAATGATACATATATATAATGTGGACAAATATTTGCAATACATATTTTACATATTCTTTGATGTTTTTTGCATAATTATATTCATATATTAGATTTCACTTAAGTGTGTTAACAATCTTAATTGCAACATACAGGATCTTTAACTCTTTCAAAGCGATTAGTAAAAGCAGTAGATAATATGTGGTAGTCCTACATTTACACCTTGAAATTGAAAAATTAGTCAAATCGTGTGTCCATAGGCGACTGGATAACTACTACCAATAATCAAATACATGTGTATAACAAATGTCTCACTCGTATAAAGCAAGTGAATTTTGAAGTTATATTTTGATAACCAGCTTGACAATTAATACATTAAACTGTATAAGACCTTTCGATATGAATAGTGACAGGTTAAGAACATTTTGCAAGAAAATTACGTTGTGAACAACCTGCATTCCTTCCAGTTCTTACGTGTTGAAATATATTATTTCCTCAAAATTTCTTTATATATATTTACATAATATCATATATTCATCAACTTATAATCCTTCACACTATATTATTCGTACATAAACTTACACATACTTGATGCTAGTTAAGCTAATCAAATAATTAAGTGGGATATTAATGGCAAAAGGGTCCTTACTGTGCTCCAATATTTCAAACTTATACATATGACAGGTGATGAATTATAGTGTATAATGTTATCTTAATGTTTGGGAATACCATTCATTGCTGTTTATATACAGCGAATATATTATTTCTGTATCAATCTAACTTTTCATTTGATTTGCTGGTAGTTTCGGGCATCTCAATTTCAACTTTGTTTTCATCTTCAGTGGCAAATCTATTACCATGCTGTGCTCCTACTAAATCTAAACACACAGCTAAAATGAATTGCAGCACACCGTAGCCAAGTGTCTGAAATAAAAACGTTTTTGGTCCAAAGTTCTCGTACAAGTACCCTATCAAACGCATGTGGCATATACCCCCGACAGATGCCCCAAATATTTGCAATGTCATTCCAAGACCTGTCAGTTCTATGTGATAATCAGTCCATGCAATACCCGTCGGCCAAATTGCGGCGGAGAAGAATGAAAAGAATTGTATTATAATCCACAGAGACAAAGAGTTGTCTCCGGCAAAAAACAATAGTAAACAAGACGAGATAGCCATGCCACTAGCTTCTAAAACGATTAATACTCGAATTGAAATACAACGTGATATAAATATAAAAACCAGTCTACCAGCAGAAAATGTTATCCAGTATGAAGTGTTAAGAATCGACGCAGCATCTTTGGTGAATCCTAACTGATCAATGGCGAAACTTCTGATAAAGCTACCAATCATACGGTCGCCCCCTCCGATATTTCCAAAATAAAAGAATAAGAGAAATAAAATGGATGATCCGTACCAAAATCGTCCGTTAGCACAAGTTGCCGGATTAATAATCTCTCTAAACGTCCTGTCTTCCTTTTCATTGTCTTTCTTAACTATTGTGGTCACTCCATCATTATATTCAGCAATTTTCCGAAATTTAGAATGTCGTATTTGATAATAGTAAAAAGCAATTGATACGGCTGCAACTATAGAAGCGGAAATGGCGTACGCGTATTCAATCTTTGAATCCTCCTTCTGAAAAGAGCTTTCTTCATTCTGCTTGGCATTATGGGTAGTGAGAGGTAGCATGCTTCCGCTTGTTGAATTGCTGTTTTTCGTCGTTGTGTTTGTATCCGAGGACTGTGTTTCTTTGTCTGCTAAAAACGGATTGGAATACAGTGGCACAATGAAGGAACCTATACCGTAGCCTAGATGTATCAACATTAGGTATGAAGTTGTTTTATCCTTCCAAATGTTAAATAAAATGCGGGTGCCAGCTGAAAAGTAAAATTGATTACAATTGATTATATACATACTGAATCATTATAATTTTGTTATAATGGCAAGGAACATCTAATTGCAGGAAATCAGGCAGTACAATAATAATTAGCAAGACTTTTGGAATCTTGTATGGCCAAACATAAACGCTTCTATAACTGGAGCCTCTGAGGGGTGGTTCAATTGCAAACTATCACGGCGATATTAACATATCATGTTTTTAAAACGATTTACACTATAACACTGTTCCTTTGACTTATTAAAATCAAAATGCTTGGGGAAAAAACACAGATTAAGGTGGGTTTCATTACATGTGTGCATATGTATTATACAATGATTTTCAGAGGAGTCTACTAACTATTGGGTCATTTTCCAACAAATAACTAAGCATAAATCATTACATACAAATAGTATATATTTAGTATTATTCCAATCTATATGTTTTGTTTCCTCTCTCCACTTACCAATATTGAGAAAGGACTCAACAAATCCACCAACAAAGCAAAAGTACCACATGTATGTGATGTTTGGGGACCAGGGAATAGCTACTGTCACACCAGCGGCAATGTCAAGGCCGAGGGCAATCATTAGGTGACAATATCCACTAAACTTATCCACGAAAAAACCAGCGAGAACGCTTCCTGGGAACCAACCAACACTTCTTCCGGAAACAGCCACAGCAACTTGCTCATAGTCTGTGTTCAGTTTTATCTTCAGGTCAATTAAGGTAGGTCCATATATTTCAACGTACGTTGACTGAAAATGTTAAAACAATTAATTAAGTTTCATAGGTAAAAAGAAGCAGAAAAATAACGACAGAAAGGAAGAAAAAAAAATCACAAAAGGCATATGAACAATTTAACTTAAAACGATAAATATGTGTTGTTTATTAACCATGTCATTAAAATTATTTTGATTCAATATCAAACGATTCCTGTCGGATGTTACATTACCTGATGTTTGTATTCTTTGAACGCGGATATGTTTCTTTTTATCCATGAGATAATAATTATATATTACATTTATTTTCATATTAATCATATTTTTCTATATAAAAATGTGGTATCTATAGGTCACCTAGTAAATTTAACGGTTATCACGGAGAGGCCGCTGTTTTTAAAAATGAACAAAGTGTGAGCATTAGAATATATTCGTTTTCAATAAACGTTTAGCACTAGCACATGCTATTTTATCAACTGTTTATAATCGCACTTTTATTCATAGCAAAAACAACTTTGTTTTATTTGATTTGTTTTTAATATGTGTAGATTGAATGCAGTTCATCACATGAAAATCTGTTATTTAATTAGACTCACTAGTGCTAGCCATGTAAGGAACAAAAAGCACGTCTCTACAACTTTGCTCAAAACACTTCTCTTGTTGCGTTCTTCTTCAACCACATCTTTAGCCTCTGCTTCCGTAATGTCTGGGGATGTCATTCTGCAATCATTAAAAAATGGATTTCCCTTAGGATAATCAATATATATTAATGATGAAACATTTGCAGCATTACGTGAGGTGTTAAAGAAATCCAAAGTTTGCTACCCTTGCCTAATCAGCTGATCGGATAACCTGAAATAATACAAGAGATTCGAGATTCCTGAAAAAGATTGGAATAAAAAACGCTGATTTTTTTTCTTTTTGTTATTGTTGTTTTTTTTTTTTAGATACGTTGTGCGTTGTATCTTAAATCTCTTTGAAGATCAAAAGGTCCAAAATTGTTTTCGAACGTAGCAGTTAATATCTATAAGAGACTTCAATTGCATTATATATCCAGCAAATTAATAAGGTTTTACTACAATGATGAATATGATGAAACAAATCTGACACAAGTTGTCATTTTACATACAATATATAAAACTCGCTCAAGGAAGACCTGTCACTGGCTTGTTTTCTTTTCTTATTTTCTAATGTTTATTAAAATTGATGTGATGCGAGACAAAACATGACATATTTTGTGCATACTTACCTTGCACTTTTAAGAAAAGAAAACATGTGTTTGTTCAACGTATATTCTTTTCTGCTTTTTTATTCATTTTACAGAAATTTTAAGTTTCTTCAATTAGAAAGTAGTTTGGTAGTACACTTATTCTTGAATGAAATAGGCAATTTCCTTGGATTTTCGGTGATATTCGTGGGGTCGATATATAGAACTTGCAAAACTATCATTCAAATAGGTAAATATTGTGTGTCTTTAGTTCAACAGGTTACACAATTTGCCGAACACAGCACATTGTATCAAAATAACGTTCATTGCATTAATATTTATTGCACTTAAATTTACGTTATTTATGTTAATTTTATGTTTACAACGACTACTTTATTTTTTTTTCTTATTTATTTTCTTTCCTATGTATTTTTATAACACTTTCATTCCCTATGAAGTGCATTGCTAACAAAAAGATGTCATGGAATGAAAAGGATAAACTTTGATTTACTGAAAAAGATTTGAAAATAATTTACAATCTCGACAATTTCACACCAACAAAATGACGTAATCTTGTTATCTCTTGATGCATATATATGTTGATATAACTTATTTGCATAAGTTAAAACCGCAACAAAATTTAAGACACGAAATACATACAGTTTAGTTTTTGGATTTAAGAAACGGAATCGTCGATAGAATAAAAGGTCACTTTACTTTGTTTCCTTCGTTCTAAAACCATGAATTCTTAGACGTTTTATTTAAATGTTGTATAGGTTATATTTTAAAATTCAAACCTTGTGTAAATTTTCCAAAACACGTAAAGTACAATATTGCAATATAAACATCATGCCGAAACAATAATTGTTTGTATATGTCATGTTTAATTTATGAAATATTGTTACTCATTAATGTTTTTGTTCTACATTCATTTGTTTCTAACAAATTGACCTAAATACCTTTTTCCGTTTGAATTTAGGACATACAGGTGTCTGTTAAATGTATGTTATAAATATTAATATATATGAGCTGCGTCACGACAAAACCAACATAATGGGTTTGCGACCAGCATGGATCCAGACCATATGATGACACAAGATGCCCTCACGAATGGCCCATCAGATCCGAATTTGAACATTGCTTTATTCGTGTGCCCATCTGGTGCCAATTTCGGGACAGTGTGACTCCTGTATTAGAAATAAATGACACAAAATGCTTTGTGATATTCAATTCATTAGTATATAATAAGATTCACATATTAGGTTAATGGTGAAAAATACAAAACATTCTAACAGCAGTGATTTTATAAGAGGCAATAGTCCTTTGATTTTGAGTAGAATTATCGCTAAAATTGCTGACTTTAGTAAGTAAAAAGCTAGCATAATTAAGTTTAGATATTTGGGAAATTTGAAACTGCATGAATTTAAAGAAAAACATATTGAGAAGAGGCCTTTAATTTATAAGCCTCTATTATATAAAGTGAAAAGCACGTGACAGAAAAGTTAATAAGTGATCACATTCATTCTGATTAAAAAATAAACACAGGTATCAGTACAATTTATATGCTTTGCATGAAATATAGATGTCAGCATAAATATTTCTCCATTACCTCTAAAACACAATGCTATCTTAGAATGTTGATTATTCAAAAAGAAAACCCTAAAGCAATAAGTCCAGACATGCTATAATGATTTATGTACCGAAATATGAATAGATCAAGAGCTCATGATTACAATTCTTTTGATCTTATATAATGGTGTATAATGGCTTCACTTGTGTAATGGTTTATTTGCTTGAAAGGAATTTTGGATCAAAGAAATGGAAGTTCTGCTCCATTTTAGAGATCAATTATAGCGACAAAAACTCTTATCTCCATAAATCAAGATCATTCTTCGGGTTAAATTATTTTTTTTAGATAAGTTAAGACTAATGAGTTGTGATAAAACTTAAAGTGTATCAAACATTTCAAAATCCAAAATCGTGAGTTGTTTTTTTATTTAAATAAAATTATCTTTACACTAGTCTGTCTCATTTTCTCATTTATAGTAGTTTTTTTTAACAATGTGTATTGTTATATGAGATTTCAGAGTACTTATAAGGCAAATGATATTTCACATTGCTCATATTTGTGTTAGAATAATGTACATTTGTATTTGATCATCATATACCATATCTATAGCATTTCTAATCATCAGTGTATATTGTATAAGCCCTTTTAGGAGAAACGTTTATTACATATAGCTCATGCATATATTTCTTATTTCCAGTGTCCATGCTGTTCGCTTACCAACCCTATTACAAGTAGAGAAACTCATAGCGAACAGCATTGATCCTGATCAGACTGCGCGGATGCGCAGGCTGGTCTGGATCCATGCTGGTCGCAAACCCATTATGTTTGTTTTGTCGTGACGCGGCTCAAATATATTAAGTTTCTCAGTTTCTCTACTTGTTATAGGGTTTGTACGCGAACAGCATGGATCCTGATCATACTGCGTGGATGCGCAGGCTGGTCTGGATCCATGCTGGTCGCAAACCCATTACGTTGGTTTTGTCGTGACGCGGCTCAAATATATTTTAAAAAACTGATTTTAAAGGCACATTATGCCTCAGAAGGGCAAAGCACGAGCTTTGATTACGTTAAACTAATGGTTTTAGAACATGTTAGATGATTTACACGTAAGAATAGAAGCGCTGAATGTGAAATCATTTGTCATTTAAGTAGCAAAATGTAAAAAAGTAACATTTTGACTTCTATACACAATACATGAGTCACTAAAACTGTATTGATTGCCAAATGGCAACAGACGCAAAAGATGGTTCAGGCAATTGGCAGTACAAAACAGTACAAAAAAAGTTTCAAAGTTTTTCAGAAATGACAAAAGAAGCATTCTGAGGCATGGTGGGCCTTTAAGTTATTTGCATAAATTATGTGTACCTGGTAAGGATGTGTGAGATTAATGTCTTGTTTCTTGTAGCATTCATTTAAGTGTCGAGTATGAAATTAAACTAATAAATCGTGATTGCAAACATTTGTGACATTTTCAAAAGAAAAATGATCGGCGCATACTCCTAAATAACTGTTCACTGATTCACAAGATGTGGTTTTGACCTCCTATTTTATGTTGAAAATGAAATTATTAAATGTAGAGTTTTATCTTTTCTTTTCGTTGTTTTGCTTAAGTTGAACGTTTAAATGTCAAGTAGTTTTGTTTGATTTCAAATGCATCATATTTTAGTTCATATATAACTTCAACATTTTAAGCATACATCATAAATTCATTATAATAGTTTACTTATGCAAGTGCACTCTGTCTTCATTCTTATCTAATCGTATAAGATACATTAAGAATATTGATAAAAAAATATTAATAGAATAAAAACAAAACATGGAGGAATTATTCTATCCTCATGGGTATGCTACGCACCAACGTATATGCATATAATTATGTTGATGATTAAATTCGTACGATGCAGTTATAAGAAATAAATACAATACACAAAACAAAACAATACAACACAGTTTGTCTTTCAAAAAAGAAAGTTCCGATAAAATCTTTCTTCCAATAGTTATTACAGCTAACACAAGCTTCTGAAAACTCGACATAAATCGTCATTTTTCGTCTCTTATGATATTTATTCTCTTATAACAATTATAAAGGCGTTTTCATAAATCATCAAGAACAATAATAGCACAAAAATATCAGATAAGGAAACTTAAGAAGCTAACCAACTTCAAAGGAACATTTTATTGATCAAATTTTAAAGAACAGAAAATTACACAAAGAAGGAAAAAAAACCGGTATTAAACTGCCAATAAACACTGGTTAGAGACTACATGTATATGTCCCTGGATAATATAGTTAACACATTTTTAAGACAACAATAATAACGCATTTTTATTGATATTATCCGTTCTTACAAAATTTTCTTTTCATAAAATGCTAAAAAATATTTAAAATACACTACCGCCACAGGTTTGATCCATTTTAGTTGACAAATCGGCTCTAATTAGTAAGCAGGGTAATGACGTCATCCTAAGTATAAAAGGAAAGAAATGGTTAAAATAATCGATAAAATGATGTAAATACAATACAATCCAGTCTGACAAGTAAGTTTTTATTGTTGAAAACTTGATAAAATAACTATTTTTCGTTTGATAATTTCTATATCGTAACAACAGTAGGGTGCGAAATCAAATAGCGCTATGTGAAAATCGGCCTCAGCCTTTGTGGTCAATTTCTAAGCATCAAAACACCAAACCGTGTTAAATTGTCGATAAACACCGATCAGACCGATATCATGAAATAAACTAAAATAAAAGATATAACAGTGTAAAATAATCCCCTCCATACTTCTATACAGTAACTGCATGTTTCGTCTCAACTTTTCAATGACCGTGAAAAACATTAATTAATTAATTAATTCATTCATTCATTATAGTGGTATGTATCTACAATTCCCAATTAATCAGAAGAAAAAAACACATTTGATATGAAGTAAACTGTGCAACTACCAAACAGTACTGATATTATGTTAACAAGGCCAATCAAGTTACGATGTACTTAAGTTTACATAAACATACCTAAATCTCTATTTCATAAATGGAAATCATTTTACAGTTGCTTGGGTAGGTTTATAATTAATCTTTATGGAACATCATTTTTCGTACTGATGCATTTTTGTTGACTTTTGTTTCACCCTATAACAGGTGCGTTATTTCTGTATGATTATCTAAGTCTTTTTTTGTCGACTTGATAGGTAAGGTAAGACTTATATTTCATTTTTAATATATTCTTAATATTTACTTACCACCAAACAAGGTAAACGTATATAATATTTGCAGAAGCTTAAAATACCGGCCCCGTTTTAGTATATGTCTTCGAATAATTTAGCCTTAACCTCTGAACGTTCAATTATCGCTTAAAATGTTTCACTTTTGTTGTTCCATTTGATGAATCAACTTCGTTGACCATGTGGTCTTGCGTGAAAATATCTTTTGTATAAAGAGTAGAACCATTTTCTTGAGAAAGTTGAAAAATGCTTAGTAATGTTTTTGTTTGAGTATGAATTTTTCTAGTTAGGACGCTTTACATTCTGCTACTGTTAGTGTTGCTGTTGTTGTTGGTGTGGTTGTTTAAAAACTAGATTTACAGTTCTTTATACTCATTTTAAATTTCATGTCAGCAATTTGCATAATAATCTCTTTGATTTTGATCGATGTTTAATTAATTATAGAAATTATAGCATATTACAAACATACTTACATATAAAGTCACATTTGCATGCTTGATGAAAAAGGAAAGGTCTTTACACTCAACTTTGTATACATGGATTGCTTTTTATTTCACAGACAACAAAATGGAAAAGGACAAAGACAGCCAAACAGACTCAAAGCCACAGAGGTCAACATGTGAAAAAGTTGTTGAGACTGGGTTTCTTGTAGCTACATGGCTTGCATTGGTATAGTATAAAATTTGTTTCCTGTAATCTTAAACATACACGTAATTATATCAAATCTTACAAATCATGCGCAGGTATATCATGACAGTATGCCTGGATGTTCTGCTAAACGGTGATGCTTGGTCATAATGATGCATATGAATTGTACGTACGACCATCAAGATTCCAACATTTCAATATCTTGATTTTTCTTTTTTCTTTTTTTTTCTTCTCCTTCTTCTTCTTCTACTACTACTTTTTCTTCCCCTCCTTCTTCTATTTCTTTTTCATCTTTTTTCTCGGTAGCAACACAATACAGTCGCTTTAAACTTTTTAAGGATGGCAAATATCATTTAATTTTCTTTTTATGCACATGGTACATACAGTAGTTGTAAAAACAACACGAACATGTGTTTACATAGATGCAATATCGGTTAGAGACAAGTGAACTCTTGATAGCCACTAAAAACACTATGTCGGACCGAGTCTCTATTACCAATGTCGTTTTTACTACATGTGTATTATGCTAAATGATTTGTTTTTCTAGGGTTTGTATCTTGAAATATTTGGTCCAACGCTGATTGACCTTAAAATCAAGCTCAACACAGACTATGAGAAGGTCGCCGTGGCAGTATCAGGTAGGAGTGTCGGAATGTTCCCTGGCTGCGTCTTTGGTGGATTTCTCGTCGACAAGTTTGGAAAATATTGTCATCTGATGTTGGCAGTTTGCTTGGAGATAGCGGCAGTTGTAACGGTTATAATCCCGTGGTCACCAAATGTGGAACTCCTTTGGTTCCTCTGTTTTGTGGGTGGATTTGTGGAGTCAGTTGTAAACATAGGTACGTTTTCTGAATATTACAAATAAGAAATAGAAAGTAAAAATAATATTTAGTTGTTTGAGATATCAGATAAACTTATAACTTGATCATTTGATACTGCAAAAATATATTCCTAATCTTAAATGGACCTAAGACCTGATAATTTAGATACTTTCAAATGTATCTTTTACGGCACATTATAAGCACCTTTTGTTATGTTGTTCCAAACTTCTTTTCAGATGACTTAATAAACCTGTTTTAACATTTAACATTACAATATTACCATAATCACAAACTGCATTTAATCTAAGTTGGTTCATTTGATATTTATGTTGAGGAAGCGCAATCATTTTACCTACTCTATGCCACAATTCTTTGTCCAAACCCACGTAACAGCTTATACTTATCTTCTGTTACAGCGGGTCAACGGCGTATCTTGACGCTTTGGCAAGAGAAAGCAGCGACACCAATGATCCTACTTCACTCTGGTTATGGATTCGGTTCCTTTCTAATCCCTCTTTATACAAACCCATTTCTAGCTGTTAAACGAGAGGATATAGAAAATACTACCCTGGCTAATGCTAATATAACATCAACAACTGCAGCCTATGTTATGCCAAATAGCACAGTACCGGAGTACATAAAAGAATCAAAGATTGAGTATTCGTACGCGATTTCAGCCGTATTAGTCGCTTTGCACTCGTTGTCATTTTATGTATTTCAAATACACGAAAGGCGCTACGAAACGTTTTGCAGTAATGGAATTGACAAGGTTGATACCAGTATTGAAAAACAAACGAAAGGGAAAGAGATAAAAGATCGAAATTTTACCCAGTTGATAAACCCTGCTACATGTGCAGGAGGTCGATTGTGGTATGGCATCCAGCTTTTTGCTCTTCTTTTCTTTTATTTTGCAAATGTCGGTGGCGGGGAGAGAGTTATAGCAGGGTTTGTCCGAAGCTTTTCAATTGACCAACTTAATTTTTCAAAAGACGATGGATCGTATGTCAACACATCTTTCTGGATAAGCTTCTTAGTGGGTCGAATCGGGTTTTCAATTGCTGCACGCTGGATTTCGGTGAGGATATTGGTTCTAGTACAGTCAGGGGGGTTAACTGTTGTTGCAATACTAATGACTATCTTCGCAAGGAATAGTGCGTTAGCTTACTGGATCTTAATACAACCTCTCGCAATCTGTCTAGCTCCACTTTGGCCGTCTGGTGTAGCTTGGGCAGACTTCCACTTAGAACTTACAGGAATTGGCATGATGACTCTTCTTCTGGGTGGGTCAGTCGGTGGTATTGGTCATCTACGACTTATTGGATATTTATACGAGCACGTTGCTTATTACACATTTCTGTATCAAGTACTAGGTTATGCAATTTTGTCGTTTGTGCTTGCCATTGTGCTAGATCTGATTGGATCCCAGCATGGAAGCAGATTCCAGTGGGACAATAATGAAAATGACAAAGAAGTCGTTGAAATGAAAACCGCTGAAGAAAAATACGTTGTTAAGTCAGAAGCACTTTAAAAACCCGAGCAATGTTTAAATTCATTTTAAATCATGGCGACACTACCTTTTAAAAAAGTAGTTGATTGCAAAAAAAAATGTCAGGCATGAACAAAGAGATAATTTAAATAGAAATTAAATTTATATTTATTAAGCGTCAATATTTTTATTATCATGACTAAAAGTTAAACATTAAATATTTAAGGAAAAATACACAATACTGTTGGCGTCATAGCATTACAATGCCCGATCATTTATTCCTCAAACATGTAACGGACCTAAGATGAAGGCTAAGGTCGGTTCAATGTTTGGACTGCTGACTGCGAGGACACTTTACTACTCTAAGGTCCAAAATAATGTATCCTAGTTCTTATCCTGCAATAGCACGAGAACAAAATTATATGATTTAAAAAACATACAAAAGTCTAAATAAATTATACTGATAACTTGTAAAATGCGCGTTCAAACTCCAAACAGTGTTTCGTGAAGAAAGGAGGACCACTGCGTAGGAGTTTGATGCGCGTTTTGTAAAATCTTCCTGGCTGTAAAACACCATAAAATTTTAGCGGTCAGATAATACATGAAAGTGCCCTCAGTCACTATAATTTTCTTTTGACAGCTGACGTCATCGTCAATAGTATATTATTTTAAGGCTCGCGGACTATTATATAGATATCAGAAGGAGCAATATTTATGTGAGGTATAACATAAAGTAATATTATAAAAATCAAAATTTAAATAGTACATGACTGTACATATTATCATAATTTTTAGGGTTACATATCTAGTAGTTTGGCATGAATTATATCTATGTGATTTTAAAAGTAAGTTCTTATTTTACTTGAACTTTCGTTCCTTATTAAATCAAGACTTCTTGTCTGAATAAACGTTGTCACCAAAAAAAAAAACTACAAAAAAAAACAAAATTGATAAAATATCAAAGATACTAGCTATGCTAATTTCTTTTTCTATAAATGACGTCGTCTTGGCTTTTGAATAACTTGAAGCTCAAGCAAACTATATTGTTTGCTCGTATTATTAAAATCAACTGATTTCTCTTTTTGACACGTTTCAATGAAATGCAAGTGTTATATTAACACATTGTCTTTGTAACTGTGTCGATGAAACAAAATGAGACTAATTTCATTCACTAAAGTCATACATAGGTTTATCTCCGGTCCCCGTTTTAGTTCATTTGTATGCTAGAACACTCGTTCACACTTGATAACAGTAGAAAAAAATGATTATGATTACCGCCGTGTTTGCAAGCATTTTTGTCCTCATGGTTTGAAACTTACTGAATCAAATATATATAAAAAAACATGAAGTCTGAAACTCAACTGGAATATATGACAGGTTAGTTATTTTAAACTTAACTTGCTGATTGTTTTCTATATGTAATTATTCATTGTTTATTACCAAACATGTTCAATTCCCTGAATGTTTAACGACTTAGTTTTAAGACTGTCAGTTTCTGTCTTAAAATCTACAACTGCCGATGGAATTTACACCACTAAAAATGACAGAATATGCCTTTACAAGCACTGACCAGTTTTGAACAGGCATAATAATCATCTTTCAGCTTCAAGATCAATACTTAACGGCTTTTCTAACTCCACACTTGTATTTTGGCTAATATCTCTTTCAAAAAATAAGATTTTACAAAAAAAATTTACACAATTTTAATTCATCATGTCATTTAATAAAAACATTAAAATAATAACGATCAAGTTCAATATCGATCAACCACACGTTTTTACCAGCAATACGCGTAAAATCAAAGGTCACATTTCTATAACCTTAATATTTGTTGTGTCCGCCCTGAGCTGTGATGACTGCAGTACATCTGGAACGCATTGAATTAATATAATTTAGAGATAAAACCCTATGGAATTGCATTCCATATCCTAATAAGAGCATTTTCTAGCTCCAGTAGAGGTCTTTGTCATGAGACTAGTGATTGTTTTGGGGTCCCGTCCAAACAACCGGGCAACCCGAAGTTAAAAATTGGATATTACTAACCTGGGTATTAATTCAATCGGTATTTAGACATCAACTACGTGTAAGTTTTATTATTTTGTAACGTAATAATAAAATATAAATAAGTTACCTGTCTATTAGAAACCCCACTTTGGACCATCCCAACCGCACATGCGCTTTCTTCTAGTGTCATTCGCCGCATCGTTTAATAAATTTAAATATTTCAATAATTTTATGATTTCCTGACATGTAAGTCAATACGCAATTTTGTAGATGTACAACTTTTGTATAAATGACAACATACAAAATGCACGGAATGCACGTGCATCTCGTAACAGACAGTTAGACTGGTTTGCGCTCAATTTTATACATGCCAAAATAATTATCAACCCGTTTTATGACGGTAGACGAAAAATGATTTAAATAGAAAAGATATTAAAAGATGAAAATGTGGAGTTAGAAAAGCCGTTAAGTGTATATAACATTTCCAACTTATTTCATACATAGTCAACTAATTGGTACTTCACAGCATCATGATAGCGACATGCTAAAACATAATTTTACTTCTTTTACAAATACATGGTTGTATGAAATAACAAACGGCAATAAAGAAGCAAAATTATCATGTTCTAATGAAATATATAACTTGTTATGAAGAAGTTTATTCAGTAAAAAAATAAAACAGCTTATTTTCTGATATAAGTATTGAAACCTCTTAGTTCCTTTATTAAGAGCAGAATTCGTTAGTGCTCAGTGATCGCGAGGCCTTAAAACTTCAAACTGGAATCGTTTACTCCGCATTAGGTATTCACTATGTACAAACTTGCAGATGACTGTTACGATGTTATTTCTAAACAGTATTTTATGTGCATATACTTTAAGTTCAACATACTTTTGCAGGTATAACAGAATAAATGACATGATACAAAAGGATAAACTGATCCCTCAAAATGTCTCACCTTTGAATTGACAAGTCACAGTTAATTCTTAAGCTTGCGCTCTACGGGTGGATCTTTTTAAAAGAAATCTTTAGTAAGAAACCTACGTTTTTTAACCAAAGGAGATTTTAATTATTCATTTACTACTGATCCCATTTTTAAACAGTTAGATAATTAATTTAAAAAAATACAAAAAAATAAAGATGAAAGGAATATCTTTACAGGTAATAAAAACAACCCTGATGATGTTCAAATAACACCACAGAAAACAACATGTGAAAAGGTCGTAGAAACAGTATTCCTTGTGGCAACATGGCTGGCACTCGTAAGCTTAATTAATCATCTCTATCTCTTTTCCATAATATTTTTCTTCTCTTTTCTTTTCATGTAAATATTCGTTATATTTTTCGTCTTGGTATCGGCTCTTCTCCTTGATAAAATCATAACATTGTTCTTCTCTTCTCCGTGATAAGATATAATCATAAAATTGTTCTTCCGATCTCCTTGATCTCTGTGGTATATTCATTATATTATTCTTGCCTTTTTTCTCCTTAATATAATTATATTCTTCCCTTATCCTTGATAAAATTGTATTGTTTTCCTTCTCTGTGATATAATCATCATATTGTTCTTTCCGTCTCTTTCTTGATAAAATTAAATTATTATTCCCATCTTTTCTCCATAATATAATCATTAAATTGTTGCATTGAATTCGCCTTGATATAATTATATTGTTCTTCCCTTCTCTTTTCCGATATATTATCATTCAATCAGTAGTATCGAATCATGTACATTTGTTTTAAAAATGTTACTTGAATGAGTATAAATATTAACATTTTGAACAATTATATTTTGTTCCAGAACAGTTTATGATCTGCTATATATAGATATGCAATATCTTATCATGTATCTTAATATATTTACCAATGCCATCAACATGTAATTATTCAGTGGTTTGTTTCAATATATGATACAAACTTTGACTAAGGTCTACCGTAAAATTATTTTTCGAGTATCAAGTAACTTAGAAAGAATACTGGAAAAACAAATATTTGAACTGTTTTATTTTAAAATGTTTAAACATTCCCGAAAGTTTAAACATACATATTCATATTCGAAAGCTGTCATTGGAAGCAAAGCAAAATATAAAAGAACAAAGCAACGAAAACCGTTGATTGACACCTAAAAGCACATTTATGAAACATTGCATGAAAGGTTTGACCGAGTCTGTTTATATTAATGAACAGCAATGGCTGGTGTCATCTACTGACAATGCCAACAAACGCTATATTTAGCAGAATTAAGCATATAAACAGAAAATGGTTCAATTTCAACTGATAATTTGAAAAATTCGGTAAATGTGTGAGAGAGACATACAAATTATTTTGGCTAAAATATGAACATTTCCATCAATAAAATATTGTTTCCATTTTAGGGCTTATATCTGGAGATATTTGGTCCAACACTGATTGATCTTAAGATAAAACTAAACACTGGTTACGAGGATATTGCCGTAGCGGTATCTGGTAGGAGTTTTGGACTGTTCCCTGGCTGCGTCATCGGTGGTTATTTGGTCGACAAATTCGGCAAATACTGTCATCTAATGCTGGCTGTTTGTTTGGACTTCGCGGCAATAGCAACTGCCATCATTCCCTGGTCACAAAATGTGGAGCTTCTGTGGTTTCTGTGTTTTGTTGGTGGTTTTATGGAGTCTGTTATTAACATAGGTATAAAAAATATCTCTGGCACGGGAAATTATTCAATCTAAAAAAGAAAAGGGTTGAGAATCACCATAGATTTTTTTTCTAACTACAGTTTACACTATATTCGAATCTTCATATTTATACATATTGTAGTTTTTAATATCTTATTACATGTACCTGTTTTACAACGATAATTAAACAACAACAAAACAGTGCATGAAAACGTTTGAATACTACATTAAGTTAAAAACCGAATCTTGATTTTTGAACTGACTTCAATATATTCAAGAAATATTTTATTATTGCAGCTGGACAACGACTTATCCTGAAACTTTGGCAAGAAAAGGCAGCAACTCCAATGATACTCCTTCATTCAGGATATGGCTTCGGATCATTTATCATTCCTCTATATGCCAATCCATTTCTGGCTGTTAAACAAGAAGGTCAAATAAATTCCGCTTTCCAGCATTCGAATTCTACGTATTTGACAACTCCATCAGAATTGGTTTTGAATACCACTTTAACAAAATACGCAAAGGGATCAAGGATAGAATATACTTACGCAATATCTGCGATATTGGTTGCACTGCATTCCCTTTCTTTTTATGTATATCAAGTGCGTGAACATCGATATCAAGTCGGAAAAACTGGTACCGAGGAAGCACAATCTCCAACTCTCAAAAAGAATATTGACCCAGATCGCTCATTTCTCCAAATGATAAATCCAGGCACTTGCGCTGGTGGGCGTATGTGGTATGGCGTTCAAGTATTTGCTTTACTATTTATATGTTTTGCAAATGCCAATGGTGGAGAGAGACTTTTAGGAGGCTTTATCCGTAGTTTTTCTGTTGATCAACTTGGATTCTCGAACAGCGACGCTTCTTTTATCAACACGACTTTCTGGATTAGTTTTGCAGTTGGTAGGATTTCTTTCTCAATCGCTGCAAAATGGATAACAGTACGTATTTTGGTTCTTATTCAAACAGGTGGATTGACTATTACATCAATACTATTGGCGATCTTTGCAAAAGACAATTCGACATCCTATTGGGTATTGGTACAGTGTCTGGGTTTATTCGAAGCCCCACTGTGGCCAACTTTTGTAGCGTGGACGGACTATCATCTTGAGCTTACTGGAATGGGAATGATGGTGATCCTTCTTGGCGGATCAGTAGGTGGTATAGGTCATCAAAGTCTTATTGGTTATTTGTACGAACACTTCGGCCCACAAATGTTTCTTTACCAGCTCCTTGGATATGCAATACTTGCTTTTCTATTAGCGGTTTTCTTAGACATAATTGGTGCTCAACATGGCAGTAGGTTTTCCTGGGATAATGCAGTTGAAATGGTTCGTGCGGATCAAGTACTGCTTGATAATGCAAATGAGAACAATGAGACTAGATTCGATAAAGACAAAAGCTGTGAAGTATCTAAAGTCAAAGTTTAAAACTAATTCATGATAATGTGTTAGGTAATTATTATTTCTATGTTTACCATTATTCTTTGTTTCATTCCAACTACTATTCAGACATGTTACACAAATGAGGTTTGCGAGTCTTTAGTTTCGTGGCTATTAATATTACAAATGTAACTCGTTATTTATAAAGTGATACATAAACATTAAACGCATTATATTTGGATGAGAGATGATGCCCTTCCATTTTTTCTCTCATATCATGAACTTTCTCAATCTTCAACCATCTTTATTTTTCACAATATCAGTATAATATTTGCAAAGGATGTTCCGCAATATGTGTTTGATTATTGACAACCAATAAACGTGATGTAAATACACAGTACATATTACGCGAGGTATGTCACTTTTGTACTAATTTTTGTATCATAGTTGATAAATATTTCAGCTCGAATGAAATAGTTTCCGTACAAATGTTTTCCAACGAAACAATCCGAACATCTAGGCTTATATTAGTAATAACCTCGGACTTAATACGGATTGAAGGTAGTACTACCACGTGGTTTTAGATATGTAAGCAAAAACACAGGGTGTAATATTTGACAACGTATAACAAATGTATATGTTTGGCATCCAAAGAACAAAAGTCTATAAAAAATGGAAAGACCTAAAATTATTGTTGAAAAGCATAAACAATTAAACAATTTAAAATGCTTACTGATGTACAATTAAAACCAAATCAGAATAAATGTCAACAGATAGACACTCTGTACTTTCGGTTTCTACAACCATTATATTAAATATATAAATAATGTACTGTTTACTGTTATATCTGTACATTTACTTAATTTAGGTTGACTTTTACTCGATATATTGGTATAAATTAAGTATTCAACTCCCAGCATTAAATTACTATTATTTGTAATCATGTTTAATTAGACCGAAATACCGTATCCGTTCTGTGTATTCTTTCTAATGTGTTCGAGGTCTGACGCTGAGAATATGCGATTTGCGAAACAATATTACCGTGAATGATGTTGTACTTTTCAGTGTAATTATATCAACTTTGGCGTCATTCCTCTCAATATATCTTTGTGTTCAGAATTTACATTTTAAATCCTATCGCATGGGAAAAAAACTATGATTACAACAAAATATATTCAGTGAAAATAATTGGATGTATAAGAAATCGGTACACCGTGGGAAATATCATGATTGAACGTCGATATGTTAATGTTCCTTCACTAGTGTAAACACAATTTTAATGTCTTCGTGATTGTTTATGTTACTATATGTATGACCTTTAATGTGTTGTACCAGTATATTAGGGAAAGCTACATTAATAATACATAATTAGCATCCTGAACAAGCATGCAGTCTTTTGAAAAACGACTTTTAAGAACTTGTAAACTATTCTGCCCCAACCATTCTTTTAATTTTATTTTTCAAAGGCTTTTTAATTGTTGGTGTACTTTATTATTTCTAGCAATTACCTAAACTATATTTTTGTTGCGTTTTGGCAATAAGTATATTTATAGTTATTTAATGACTATGCTGATTGCCGGTGGCCTTGTGTTGCCTGGTTGAGATGGGGATGCGTCCATTGAATACCGCCCTTCCTTGTTGATCTTGGTTTTATTTTTGTACAAATACTACTGTGAATGTATTTTGCTACCTTTATGACATATCATTTTACATTTAATGCTACCTTCTTCACATAACAAACACTCAGCCTCTATAAGTCATTATTTTAACTTGATAAAACTCGTTTTTTTCTCTTTCTAAATAAGTAAATTTATTCGTTTCTGATGCCTACAGTGCCTTAAATGTCCATGTAAATACTGTTTTTTCTGAAACAAAAAGAAAGACTTTCTTCATGAGACAGTCGATACAGTTTTTCCCTGTCGAACATCGCCAATGATCGGATATATCATATCCCTAGTTAATTATGATATACATGTTGTATTCTTATATCTGGCAAAAACAAAGATACATTGAGGTTTTCCTAACAGACTGAAGTTATAACAGTTTCTCACTTGCTGAATGAAATACATTAATAATCTTTTACATCCCTTGTAATCGGCTGTTATGAATCGTAACTGGGAGGATCATCTACTGTTTTGTTGTCTTTTGTACTTTCAGATGCATCATAACCTTTGTTATCCTCTTCCAATTTCTCAGCTATCCATTCATTCTTTATTTCTATATCTTTTGTGTCATCGGTATCATCTTTGTTAAACCTGCTGCCATGTTGCGCTCCAACTACATCCATTAAAACGGCAAGAACAAATACCGAGATACCATACCCTAGTAAGGTGTAAAGAAACATTTTTGGGCCGTAATTGTCATACAAGAATCCTATCAACTTCATGTAGATAATTCCACCAATAGATCCGCCAAGTAAGAGAACTGTAATAGCAATTCCAGTGACTTCTATGTGGAAATTTGCCCAGGCTATTCCTGACGGGAAGAGTGGGGCAACGAAGACAGCTAGTATTGGCATAATTACCCACAAAGCTAGTGGTCCTGAAGTTCCTAGGAATACCAAAGCAATAGAAGAAGCAAGACATCCACCTGTTTCTATCAAAATTAGAATTCTGATTGGAATCCACTTTGCCAAGATGAATCCTAAAACCCGTCCGCATGTAAATGCTATCCAAAATACAGTATTTATATAGGAACCATCGTCAGTTGTGAAGTGGTGGTAGTCAATCGAAAATGCGCGTATAAATTTACCTGCGATTCTCTCCCCGCCAGTCAGTTGCATGAAATAGAGAAACACGAGCGCAAAATTTCCACCCCATATAGAAAACGTCCACCAGCACAAGTAGCAGGATTAAACATTTCCCTAAAGGATAAAGTCCTGGTATTCGATTTTTCTTTCTCTGTCCCGTTGTCCATTTCTTTCTTCAAAAGCTTCCGTTGCTTTGAACCTAAAAAGTGATACGTGTAAAACACAACTGATACCACGATTGTTATCAAACCTGCAATTGCGTAGCCGTATTCGATTTTTGAAGTCTCAGCCAAATATTTTTTCTCTGTTGTCGTTGTTGATCCCGGTGTTGTCGTGAAATTTAATCTACAGTGAGAATCACATGATACGTTTCCGGTTGTTACATTATTTTCGTCTGGTGCAAGTTTTGCAAGGAAAGGATTCGCAATTAATGGAATTATAAAAGATCCAATGCCAAAACCACCATGTAGAATATGAAGAGGTGAAGCCGAGTTTTCTTTCCACATATTAATTATCAGTTTCTGGCCAGCTGTAATTAAAAGACGTGCATAGGTTTAAATATAAGCAATGATACAAATAAAGCATATGTGGTAAATATATGTACATGTGCTTTCAAAATAGAATACAGTGTTAATATGTATTGGGTTTTAAAATTGATTTAAAAAGTGTCTTGCAATTCCATATATGGACCTATGTTCAATTAGTTGTTTTTAAACCAACAAGCATTGACGTACTATGACAGACATTCGCGACAAGTTGATTTACCTTTTGTTCCCTTATTTTTCCGAAACAAATAAAGACTAGCGTAATGCCTCTAGACGAGCTAAAAATATTTCATGAAAATCAAACTTGAGACTAAAAACATGTAAAATGATACAAGTAATAATTTACATGTTACAATAAATATTTCTTCTTTGTACGATAACTTTACTGCATGATAAATCAGTACGGCTATTTTTGCATATTTTGACATTCTTTTTGTAATTTACGTAGTTTTAAAATGCTGAGTGCAATGTTTAAATTACTTTCTTTGTTCACTTCACAATATTTTACTTTAAATATATTTTCATACATTTTCATGAAAATTAGCATAAATATATAGTATATAAATAGTACACGCATTAAGTACATTACGCCGATGTCATAAGGGGTAAACAAAAATATAAATATCTCCTAGATATCATAAGAAACCTGTAGCTTACCTATATTTATAACGCCTTCAAAAGTTCCCCCACAAACACTTACAAAGAATATCAGTTCTGTTGAAGGTACCCATGGAACTGAGGCTGCTGACACTGCCATTAAATCAAGACAAACGGCTACCATGAGGTCACAGTACAAGCCAAACTTGTCGACGAGCACACCACCTATGGCAGATCCTATGAAGAATCCAGCGCTACGTCCAGACACAGCGGTGGAAATAGATTCGTAGTCGGCTTTGATTCGAATCTTTAGGTCTATAAGTGTAGGTCCAGTGATTTCCAAGCACATGCCCTACAGCAAATTAATGTGATAGATTACAACAAGAATATAATTAATGAAAATATACGGATGTATAAAACTTACTGATTTCCTTACACTGTGGCAAATAACATGATTGAACATTGATGCACATACGAAAAGAAATGAAAAATAAAATGTTATAATCCGTGATGCAGTACATATAAGACACGTGGAAAATAAGATTTTATATTCTATGCTGTCGATTTGAATGTTCTAGGTGGACAGGATATTCTACTGTACACGCCAAAGTTAAATATGTTGAATATTTAAACTATATTTGGCATAATACATAACTTCTGTTTTTCTAAATCATTCACGACAAACTCTCTTCATTGTAAATTTAGTGATTTATATAAAATTGATAGAGACGGGTACAAACCAAAAAGATTCATAAAACATCTTATAGTTTTCATACTCACAATACATGACCAGACGACTACAAGCAAGGTCGTCTTCACCACTTTCTGCAATGTCGTCAGTTCTTTTGGACGCATAGAGGAATCCATCTTTTTAAAAAGTATTCAAAAGATCTTATCAATTAAGATTTATGTCCTTCAAAATATTCATTCAAATATGTGCATTTCTTTATTTTAATACGTCTTTAATTACTCAAGTGAAGATTAACAGTAACGTTTAAGTTAACATTTTTGCATTTCTGAACAACCGAGGCTACTAGTAAGGCCAAATATTGTTGATTTTTGGTCCTGTAACATTTGACATTGAATCAAGCGCAGTGTGATCATCCCCCGGATTGGACTGGGAAATTAGCAATGGTGATCAATTAAGAATTATTAAATACATGTATACTTATAAAGATACTGGCACTATATTACGGTATATTTTCAAGAAAATGTTTCAGAAAACCTTGGAGAAGTTATGGATTTTTTCGCGAAAATTATTGAGGATTTTATGTTAACTTAAGAAGGAAAAAAATTATCATGAAAACTAGTAATTATTCATAACGCTAACTATCGATATTTAATAGTTTAGCACAAATTGCTTGAAATAACATTATAACATAAACGAAGGTTTGTTTATATAATATTTGACTGCGTTTGACCTATGTCTCGGCCTAAATTGATATAGATATATATACAGTCCTCAATAGTGAGGTGAGTATTAGGTCGTGCGATTATGAACTATGCGCTTAAAGCAGTTAAAGCAGGATGCCTCCAGATGCATGCTAATAATTTTGGCAATTTTGAAAATGTAGTACATTTTAGTATTTAAAAGTTAGATATTATGAAAGTAGCAAAATAGGTAATTTATTTATTGTATTGCAAACGGTGCTTACAATCCACGTAAATAAAAAAGGGTTAAAATATACAAACTAGTCCTTACTGCATAAGTCACGAAGTAGAAATATGGTGATAAAAATAGATATGCTATCCCGTGTGGAGGAAATAAAAGTACATGTATTTATCATTAATCGCATATAATATGTGAATTATTACTTGAATCTTGAATATTTTTACTTTTCTTCAAATTTTAGTACACTTTTCTCAAGTTTGATTTTCTTGAAATATTTTGGTACACCTGTGGGCATGCTGCTTTCAATTGATATTATGTCAATCGTATAATAATATGGAAGACAAAGATGCAATTAAACCCCTCTACCGGTAAATATTTGAATAATGAATAGATGTTGTGCGCTTGTTGGTCCGTCTAGCTCATACAAAGAAATCAGAAGAATGAAACGATTAAAGTACATTTGTATATAACCACAGTGTAATTTCAAAAAAATATTAAACAAATACAAAAGGAATGAAACATTTTACGTGAGTGTGTATATCTTTTTTATACTTGCTCTCAAAATTCTTCCCATCCGATTGAAGTGCAAACCACTGCTTAGAGTATTTAAAACCCCAGTCTTTGAGATATTTTGACATTACGGATGGGGGAAAAACAACCTTTGAGTTGGTTAAAGTTAATTGCATAAATGG